CGCTTCCCTCCGATCTCCACGCTCCCGAGCTGCCTCTGTTTCCCTTCCCAGCTCCCCCTTCACCGTCAGGCTCCGCCCTCAGCGCCAGGCCTTTGCACAGACTGTCGTCTCTGCCTGTCACCTCCCCCCTTCATCCTCCCACCCTCGCACCTCCCCTCCCCCATCCCTCCCGCCTTCCCCCCCACCTCCCACCAGTGCTTCTCACCTGGCCCCAAGGCTCCTGGGCAGGAGCTGCCTGTGGCCTTTCCGCCCCCTCCAGCCCCCCCACCCCCCGTGCCCGGCGGGGCCGTGGACGAGGGGTCCCGCAGCATCTGCTGTCAGGGACACAATCAGTCTCTGGGTTACATGGTAACGTGTGAATGAGCTTTTCTCCATTTCAGTTCTCAGCGGAGCCCTCGGGAAACGGCTCTTTAAAACACGAAAATGAAGCCAGGAGAATGGATTGCGCTCCTCGCTGAGCTGCGGGAGATGGAGGAGGCGTGACTCCCCGCCTCCCGGGCCCGCGATGTGGGGAGGGGGGGGGAGGGGGCACCTTCCTTCTAATGTGGATTCCAGCGGCGTCCAGGCTGGGAGTCAGCGGCCCGGCCAGCCGCTGTGGATTCAGGGCACAGGGACGCGACGCCCAGCACCTCGCACGGCCTCTCTTCCTTTAAGTGGCCGCGAGCTGGCTGCACAGCCCCAATCACAGCGCGACCGCCGGCCCTGAGGCCCCCTGCGCCCACAGCGGAGGAGAGGCAGAATGGACAGGAGGTGGTGCTGATGGCATATCGGGCCGGCCCCGTGCGGTGGCATCAGCCTCTCCTTGGACTCCAGGCGGCCCGGGGCCCCACTGCCACCCTCTGTCTGTGCAGAGTCAGCGCCCGGGGCACAGCCACCTGCCTGAGCCACCGAGTTCGGGCCGTTTGTGCCTCTTCTGCGCAGTCACTTATTACCATCGCTGGAGCCTGGCTGTTCTAAAGACCGGGTCCTGTCTGTGGTCAGGCTTCCGGGAACCCCAGAGCCAGCTCATCGCCCCACTGCAGGAGGGCACTGTGCTGAGCCTGCCTCCAACTCAGCGCCCCCTCCACCCTCCCCTTCAGTCACTACTGTGTCCTCCCCTGTGACATGGGGGAACGGTGACATGCCTGCCTCAGGACTGTTGTGCGACCACGGAGAGACCTGGCATGCCAGAGGCAGCCCTGGCACTGCCCGCCTCCCAGGCCCGCACGGTGCCCGCAGTCACTTCCGGAACCAGAGAGGGTGGAGGGCAAACAGGATGAATGAAGCTGGTCAGGTGGCACTGATTGACTTCTGATTGATTGATTAATTGATCGATCAATCAGACAAGCCCTGGGGCCTCCGGCGGGGCTTCAAGAATCAAACAGCTGGGTTCAGACTCAGGGCTCACCCCGGCAGGTGTCAAACCCCTTCCCCAGCTGCTTGAGTTGTTCCCTCTGACCCGGAGCTCAAACCTCCCACACTCCCTGCTTTATTTTCCGAAGCAGCAAGAGGCCTCACCCGAACCTCCCCTTCCCAAACCTGCAAAGGGCAGCTCCCCTGCAGGGAGGGGTGCTGACCCTTCGCTCTGGGTCCTGACACCCCTTACATCCCGCCTGCTGGGCCGCGGGGCGGGAAGGCCGAGGTCACAGGTGAATAAGCACAGAGCCCGGCCCGGACCCGGAGCGCAGCCATGGAACCGGCTGAGGGCAGGTCAGGTCACAGGGCCAGCCCTTGCCCTAGCGCTGAGCACAGAGGTCTCCCCTGCAGCCCGCAGAGCTGACTCTGTAATGGGCAGCTTAGAAGGGACAGGCACTCCCATCATGAGGAGGGAGCGGGGAGTGGGGAGAGGCGGGGCCTGGCTCCTCCTCCAGTGAAACCCGGAGAGTTCGTGAAGGCTGCACCTCACAGGCCGTCCTGATGCGATTAGGAGGCCAGCTGGGCACCTGCTCTTCAGGGACAGGAAGTCAGCAATGGCTCCGCAGGCCGCTGCCTGAGACAGGCTTTCAGCAGGGGTGCCAGCGCCCGGGCAGATGATGCCTAGCCCTGGGGGGGGCCTCTCGGCGGGTCTGGGGGAGTCCCTGTGTGCCTGGCGGTGTGCCTGGGCCGTGGGCTCGCCAATGAACCCCACGTCTGCAGGCAGGGAGCCCTCGGCCCAGAGATGGGGTGCCACTTGCTAAGTCACGCAGCCAGTCTGTTCCTGGCGCCTGATCCTGCCGGTCCCCCCGGTTCCCTCCTAAACCCTGCTCCCGGCTCTGAGCAGCCCGAGGGGAACTGCCGGCTCCCGTACCCAAACCCTGGGTTTGGGTCTCTGAATAAGCTCACTGTAAGCCGGGGAGCAGGGAGGGCGCGGGGCCTGCCTGCACGGAGCCGTCCCCTGCACGTGGGGCCGGGCTTGAGCCACAGTCACTTCCGTGGAGACAGCGAGGCCGGTGGCCTCAGCCTGCCGGGTCTCCCTTCCCCACCACAGGCTGCGGAGGTGGGTGAGGGCCTTCCTGTCTCTGGACGGCTTTTTACAAAACGCAGGCCATGGACAAGGCGCCTCCCCTGGCCCAGCAGCCCGGCAGGAGGAGGCCTGGGCGTGTGGGAGGTGTAGGAAGAAGGGGTGCAGCCTGGCCTGGCTGTGACCCGAGGAGTCCCTGTAAGACAGTTCCGCACAGGCTCCCTGTGCCAGGCTGCACCCCGGGGGTGGCAGTAGATGCTCCTAAATGCCAGGTCCTTGTTCTCCCCCCCCCCCCCCCCGCCACCTCCCGGCTCTGCGGGAGAGGGCGCTGGAGCTACATCCCGGCCCTTTAACCCGCCCGCCGGCCGGCAACGTGCGTCACAGGGGCCGCTGGTGCTTCTCCCGGACTCCCCGCGGGCCCATCGACCCGCTTCCAGAACAGACGGGGGCCGTCTGCTGTCAGCCTTCACTGCCAGCTGATCCTGAAACACACTTAGAAACCATGTTTCCTGTAAAACGGGTTTAAAAATGAAGGCATAGATGTGCATCCACTGCCCCAGTTTAAGAACTGAGAAGTTTAACGTACAGTGTGGGGTCTCTGTTGCTACTTTTTAAAAAAATAAATAAATATACTTTATTGATTTTTTACAGAGAGGAAGGGAGAGGAATAGAGAGTTAGAAACATCGATGAGAGAGAAACATCGATCAGCTGCCTCCTGCACACCCCCTACTGGGGATGTGCCTGCAACCAAGGTACATGCCCCTGACCGGAATGGAACCCGGGACCCTTCAGTCCGCAGGCTGACGGTCTATCCACTGAGCCAAACGGGTTTCAGCTCTGTCTCTTCTTGAAAAGCCAAGTCAGCCATTATCTGGGCCTCCTCCAGTCCTTGCCAACAGTCACTGGGGGAGATGGGGTGCGTTCCCTCCAGCTCCCTCACGCCCCTTCCTCACACCCCGACTTCCTCTCTGGCTCGCGGAGAGCTGGCTGACTTGCTGCGTCCTCAGGTGGCTGGCTGTGGGGACCTGAGCTTGCTGTCGCTGTCGCCCTGCGGGAGCTGGGCACTTGGACAGCTTCGCTGGCCCACAGCCCCACTGGCACGCTAGCCGAGCCACACACTGGAGCTGGAAGAAGGCGGTTTCTCATTTTCCAACCAATTTTGCTGACCTGATTTTCTTTTCTTTATCAACCCTGGTGCCAAGAAAGGGGATTGAAGAATGGAAGTAGCTTAATGGAATGCGCTGTGTGCTGCAGGGCCGTGTCTCCATGGTGACGGGATGCAGGCTGCATGCAGACGTGGGCTGAGATGCACTGAGACAGCTGTGCCTCTGATGGGGCGGGGTGCACGGATGGCCTCCTACACTCGCGTGGAATGCCGGTTCCTGGGCTCTGTACCGTCAGGGGGCTGGCACCTTGGGGTGCAGGCCCAGGACTGTGTAGCTGATCTCCCTCCTCCCATCGCTCTGAGGCTCAGGGAGTCACAAGCCCCTGGTGTCAGCCAGGAAGGCAGCCCACGGGGGATGTTGCCCCATCACCAACTGTTCAGAGGAGCAATTTGGGGAGATCCCTTCCTGCAGCAGGGGCCTTGGATGGGAGGGGAGATGGGAGGGGCCAGGGAGGACACGCCCACCCCAGGTGCCTCAGCCGTCAGCACAAACCACCAGCAGACCCTTTAGCAGGGCCCTCGGGCCCTTGGGAGCCCAAGGACCAAGGGCACAGCCCCGCCCTGGGGGCTGTGGGTAGTTGGGGGCACAGGTCACGGCTGATGGCCGCATGGTGTAACTCCTGATGGTCCTTGTGCCGAGGAACCCCGACCCAGACTGGCAGGGATCCTCACATTCACACGGTATCGCCACGGTCGCCCTGGCGGCCCTGTGTGCAGACTGGGGCAGTGTGAGCCATTTTCCGGATGGGAGAGCTGAGGCCTCCTGGGTTCTGCTGGACCCAGCAGGCATGCGAGGCGGTCCTGGGCCCTGAGGGGCAGAGCGAAGCCGCAGGAGGACACAGTCCTGGGGGACGCGTGTGCACAGGGGCAGGCGGGAAGCGAGTAGGAGGACCATGCCTGCCATGGTGGAGGGCATGATGGCTGTTTCCTCTTGGGCTTCCAACTTTGTCTTTTTAGTCCCGGCGATGAATTCTTAATAAAAACAACGCTGATGTAGTCAGAGACGCACTGGCAAGAGGACATGTAGTGGGTACGGACTTGGACCCGAGGTCCTAGCCTCACTCTGCCCCCACGCACGTGAAACCGTCCATTCCCTCCGCCTCTGAAAGGCCGTCCGTGAAACGGGCACAGGGATGGTACCCACCACACAGGCCCGAGGACGCGGTGGGTGACTAACGCATGTCTGCACCCCACGCGTGCTAGCTGAGGGCGTGACCTCGGGCAGGCCAGCCTGGTGCTCCGTGCACCGCCCCATTTTGCTCAGGATCACACTCGGGTTTGCTCAGGGGCACACTGCAAGTGAGCGACAGCTGTCCCCCCCCCCCCCCCCCCCGCCCCTCCATCCCCGCCTCCAGGCTTGGAAGGCCGCAGGCCTGAGGCAGGAAGCCGCCGGTGACCCCGCTCTGTCCCCCCAGGTCACCATCCTGGTCAGCCTGGCGCTCGCCTTCCTCGCCTGCATCGTGTTCCTGGTGGTGTACAAAGCCTTCACCTACGACCACAGCTGCCCGGAGGGCTTTGTCTACAAGGTAAGGCCTCCGCGGTGAGGCGAGCGCTGGGGCATTGGCAGCTTCTGTGGGAGGGTGACCCACGTCTTCCTCCCAAGGCGCCCGGGTTCTGGGTCCGCCCTCCCTGCGGACGGTTTAAGACGTGGCCGAGGGTTTCCCACTCGGCATGAAGGACTGGTCTCCGGGACTGCCAGTCCTCAGGGCACTCCCCAGGCCCCGCAGTGATGGGTGCCAGGCCGCTGCTGAGGGGACCCCGGGCCTGCAGCCCCACCCTGACGGCTCCTTCCCTCCAAGACCTGAGCCGGCGGCACGGCCCCCGGGCGTCTCCCCGCCCCTCTGAGCCTCAGCTTCCTTACCTGCCCGATGGGCGGGGACCATCCGCCCACGGGCTTTGGCGAGGCCTGAAGGAGAGAGGTCAGCGAGGGGCCTTCTAGATCAGCCGTCTCACTCCGCACGGACACCAGTGGCCCGGGGACACCGGGTGGCGACCGCTGATCTGGAGAATCGCTCTGCACAAACGTCCGTCAGAACAGACGTCTGGGCTGGACCTAGAGGGGACACTGGCCTTCGTAACTGCCCTTTCCCGGAGCCAGTGGGACGGTTCACACACGTTCCTGCGTGGAGCTGCCCATTGAGAAACACAGGGGTTCGCCCGTTTCCACCCGAGAGAAGGGGGTGAAGGGGATGAAGGGGGTCGGGGAGCAGTGGTTTCGGAGCCGGCACCCAGCAGTGCGAAGTGGGGGAGATGCATGTGGACGCCCCTTTAAGGCAGGCTCCCCAGGAAATGTGCCACGTGACCCCAAAGACACGTTCTGACAGGAGGCGGGCTCTGGGCGGTGGACACCTGTCATCGGGGCAGGTGCATACGCTGCAGTGTAGCCACGGGTGCTCCGTGCTGCGGTGACAGTAAGCGGGGTGGGGGGGTCTAAACCCCCACATGGAACCCCCCCAGGATAAGACGGAGGAAGAGGCGCTGCCGGGGGTGAGGAAAGGGGCGGGGCCAGTGTGCTTACAATGGCAGAAAGCAGCGCCCTGAGAACACACTGGAAATGAGGTTCTTGGGGGATGGCTGGGGCCCAGGGCACAGGGCCTGGAGCCAGGCTCCCCGCACATGTCTTGTGAATGCCTGCCCTTGACGTATTTCACAAATACAGAAAGAAGAAGGAATTCCTGAACGTTAAAACGAGCCAAACAAAGAACTGTATCAGGTTGGGGACATGAACTCACAAAGACTTTAAATATTTCACATGACACTCCATTCCCCCCGGGGATGTGCGTCCTAAGGACACGGAGCTGCAGAGACAGCACTGACGTCCGTGCCCTCAGCCGGCGTTGTTTGTGGCCATTTGCTGTGTGATGTGTGGCAGGACAATCAAATGTATAATCACATCAAGGTGTCAGGAAGCAAGGCTTTTCAGAAATATGGATTTTATTGACCTCAGAGAGGAAGGGAGAGGGAGAGAGATAGAAACATCAATGTTAAGAGAATCATTGATCAGCTGCCTCCTGCACACCCCCTACTGGGGATGGCACCTGCAAACCCGGGCATGTGCCCTTGGCTGGACTTGAACCTGGGACCCTCCAGTCCGCAGGCCAATGAGCCAAGCCGTCCAGGGCGGGAACCGAAGCTTTGATGGAGAGGAGTCAGAGAGCAAACTCGAGGAGATGGAGGGCCCCAGGCTGCGCGGGCAGTGCACGGGGGTGGGGGTCGGCAGCGCAGGTGCAGAGGGCCTGGTGGCCTGGCCAGCGACAGGAGGCAGCTGAGCTGGCACGGGTGCTCCCTTCTCCCGCCCCGGAGGGTCGGCTCCGATGGCGGTCACTGGGGAGGCCGGCGGGCGCTGTCCCTGCTCTGTGGCTGGGCCCGGGCGGGACGAGGGGGGGCGGCAGGGTGTGTGCGGCGCTGACCGGCTCTCTCGTCCGCAGCACAAGCGCTGTATCCCGACCTCCCTGGACGCCTACTACTCGGCGCAGGAGCCCGCCTCCCGGAGCCGCTTCTACACGGTCATCAGCCACTACAGCGTGGCCAAGCAGAGCTCCGCCCGCGCCATCGGGCCCTGGCTCTCGGCCGCCGCCGTCATCCACGAGCCCAAGCCGCCCAAGACCCAGGGCCACTAGGGCCCCCGCGGCCCGGCGGGGCAGGGCGTGGGGGACCCCGCTGGCTGAGCCAAGCTCCAGCCGAGGCTGTCCCCCGGGGTGGGGGGCGGGGGGCGGGGCTCCCTCCACCCCCACGCGCTGGCGTTGTCCCCACTGCTTTCTTTTCGTCCCGGTGTCCTCGCTTCTCCCCGTCAGGCTCGTGTACAAAGGCATGTTGCGTGTTGACCGTCCCCATGTAAGACATGTTCAAGGCCGCTGCTTAGTGTGTGTTAGGAACCATGGCAAACGGGAAAGGAGACAGAACGCCGACAGGAAAGGCCGGACGGGCTGCGTGCGGGGCGGAGGGCTGCTCAGATGAGGGGCCGGGCTCCGGGGGTGCCGGACCTGGGGCCTCACAGGCGGGGCTCTGAGGGTCACCGCTCCTGGCAGGGGTGCCCTGCAGGTCGGACAGCTGTGGGAGGGTTTCCCGTTCCCCAGCCCCCTGGGCGGGCGGGGGGGTCCGCAGACAGGAGCAGCGACTCCCTGCATCCTCGGTGTTCCTATACCCTCACCTGGCGCTGCCGCCTTCCTGAGGGGCTGGGCCAGGAGGTGTGTGTGTGGGGGGGAGGGAGGGTTGGAGATGGGGGGAGGGTTGAGGGGGAGAGTCTGCAGAAAGAGCGCTGTCGGCACAGGCACCCGATTTAAACTTGTTTGTTTCCCAAAGTGCTCCTAAGGATGAGAAGAACAGGAAGCTGGGAGCGGGGGACCCCGAGGTGGGGGCCCAGCCAAGAGAGCTGGTTCTAAAGGAAGCACAGACTCGGGGCTCCTGCCCACGCCGGGGTGTCGGCAGGGACATCCGTCCAACCCCCTGAGCTGGTTTAGACGCTCCTGACAAGGAGGCGCACTGGCCTCAGCAGCCTGAACCCCTCGGCACACCACGGTGCGCCCACAAACATCCTGGGGAGCCCCTGTGCGGCGGGGCCCCGGCCGGGAGCTGTCATGTGAGATGAGGTTTCCCCGCGGAGCCCCGCCGGCCAGGCCGGGCCGGAGGCTGCTGTGCGGCCTCATTACACAGCAGCTGGTCCCACAGCCAAGGCCCCCGCCCCACGCTCCCCCGCCTCCGCGTCCGCAGTCACCACCTCCATCCGTCACCCCGAGCCCGTGACGCTGTCCCTAGCCAAGCCGCTGAGCGCTTCTATTTTGTGGTGTATTTTTGTCAGTAGGTAGCAGAGGCTGAAGTATTTTTTGGTGTAATTCTTGAACTTTTCTGACAGGAAACAAATAAAGATAGATGTGTCTGAGAGTGTGGCCTTCCTTTATCCTTGCTCAGGGCCCGGCAGGGAGGGGCTGGGGCAGGGCCCCGGGAAATGGGGGGTGAGGGGACCTCCATCCTTAGGCCTCGGGACCTTTCCTCTCCCAGCGGTCAGAGAAGCAAGAGCCAAGAGAGGCCCCTGGCCACCTGCCTGCAGCCCAGGTCCCGCCCTGTGAGCGCCTGCGGGTGGGCCGTGCTGGCGGCTGTGCAGGGCGGGCTCCCAGCCTCTCCCTGCCCGTGGCCAGGAGGCGGAGCCCACATGGAGGCAGCAGGCAGGGCACAGAGTCTGCGCCCCCAGCCTGAGGAGGAGGATGGGGGTGAGCCGGCCACACGTGCTTACCTCACTTAAAGCTTCTCGTCACCTTGGGAGGTCGGGGTTATGGACCCATTTGACAGATGAAGAACTGAGGCCCAGAGGGCTGCAGAGGTGCCCGAGGGCTGTGGCAGCTGAGCTGGATTCAAACTCAGGTATGTGCTCCTTTGCCGCTCACCCCGCTGCTTCTGTGAGACCCTGAGCCGTCCGCCCGTCTGTCTGTCCATCGGTCGAGGCCGCGGCTCATCCTCAGACATCAGGTCGCAGTGTCCCCGAGGCGCACCGGCTGGTCCCCGGCCCGGTGTCCGGGGCTGTGTGAGGGCAGCGACGCCAGCGCCCGCGCCACGTGCCTCGGTTACGTGCCGTGTCCCTGTTCAAACACCTCCCGTGAGGGGGACCCGCGTCCTCATCGCTATCGTGTCCTCAGCACCCCGTCCGGTGACGGAGGAGATGGAGGAAGGGGCCCAGGAGGGCAGCCCCTGGCTCCCCGCCCCCACCTCGGTCAGGAGGCAGCCGAGCTGTGGTTCCCACCGCAGGTTCACCAGGTGCCAGTCAGCACTGACCGCTCCTCTCTGCCGCGGGCCTGGGAGCCGAGGCCTGGGAGCCGGGAGCTGTGCTCACCCCTCCTCTCCCACCGATGGCAGGCTCCTGGGGAGCAGGGGCAGGGGTGAGGAGGTGCGGGCCTGACCAGGCGGAGTGGGAGGATAATACAAGCTCACGGCTGCTCCAGGCTGTGACCGAGCCGGCGTGGCTCCCGCCCTCTGTGGCTGCCGGCTGTCGAGCGGGGGCTGTGAGGCAGCCCCCACCCACCCGCACCCACACACACACACCCTGCACACACACCCTGCACACAGCCTGGGCTCTGGCCCCGGGGGCAGGGGAGCTGGTCCCGCCAGGCCAGGGCCTGGGCCACCCTCCCCGCAGAGCAGGAGGTCCGTGTGGCCACGTGAAAACATGCTCTGGGTTCTAATAATCACCGTCAGCTGAAGACTGACGGGCACAGGTTCAAACGCTCTGTCACCAACGGCTCGCCGCTCCGTGGCCCGAAAGAGCAAACCGAGGCCGCAGGAGTGGTGGCAGCGAGCGTGAGGGGGCGGGGGCCCTCACGGAGGGACCCCGGCCCGGGGCTGCTCCTGGCGGGGTCAGGACTTCTCAGCAGAAAGAACCCCGAGGCCGGGAGGCCGGTTCTGGGAGAGGGTAACAGGAGGTGCCGCTGAGGTTCTGGGGGTGCGGTCTCTGGTTCTGGGGGGCACAGCCGCCTGGCAGACAGAGGGGCGGAGCCAGGACGTGATCAGAAACAGCAAACGGCACGCTGGTTCGCAGAGCAAGCTGTGCGTGTGCCTCTGCATACTTTCCCGATCTCCCGCCAACACGGGGCCGTGCCCCACAGAAGCTCACCGAGCGGGCACCCCGGGCCGACCTCCGGGCAGGGGTCCCTGTGGGGGAGCAGGCCTCAGGCTGGGGGGGGGGGGCCCAGGGAGGGCGGGGAGAGGAGACCGCACAGCCTGCTGCCTGCCTGGGACAGCCTGGGTGGGAGGGCGGCTCCTGGGTGCCTCCTGGGCCAGGGGGACACCGAGACCCCGCAGGCCCGGAGGCTGCGGGCGCCGCGGGCTCACAGTCGGGCTGGAGAGGCCGGGACGGCGCCTGGTGAGCCCGTCCGTGACCAGCTCGGGAGCCGGTCAGGGAGACAGCCATTTTCCTGGAAAACGGAGGGACCACCTGCCGGAGCGACTGCCGATGAGTTCGCCCCCTCCCGCCCGCCTCCTCCCATCGGGGAGCCATGCGGGGAAAGGAGAAAGAAATGCCCGATGATGTTTCCGAGATGCACACGGCACCACCTCAGAGAGAAAAGAGAAATCAGCCTCCTGAGCCGCTGCTGGCAAAGGGCTGGTTTCCATGGCAACGCCGCGCTGGTCCCTGCACCCGGCTCGGCCTGGCACAGCGGGCGCTGATCTGCCTGCCCTCCCCTCGGGAAGGATGTGTGTCTGAGAACCCGGACTCACCCCTGAGCTGCCCCCCGAGGCCTCCCTGCTCTGGCCCGGTCTCCCTCTTCCTCTCCAGCTCCCTCTCCTGATCGGTCCCTGTCTGTGTGCCTCTCTAGGTCCCGGCCAGCGCCTCGCTGGGCGTGGGGGGAGGGGGGGCCCGTGGCAGAGGGGAGCCCCGAGCTCCAGCCTCCACCACCTCCAGCCCCTCCCTGAGCTTTGCCTCCATCTTTGAAACGGGGGGAGGGAGGAGGGACCATTGTACCGACGACTCTTTTTGCGAGACCTCGATGACATATTTTTAAAGATTTACCCGTAGCAGGTACTCAACCAGTGGTAGCTACTGTATCGTGAATAAGCGTCTTTCACAGCCCCGGTGTTTTCAACTGTAAGTGGGAATTATTCACAAATAGCCCTGCCCCCTCGGAGGGCTGCCCCGGCTTCGGACGAGGAAGTGGCTGTGATATGCCGGGACCTCTCCCCGAACTTAGGATGCTCAGGGCCTCAGCCACGCCCGCCAGTGTCCTCAGGCCTGTCTCCCAGGCGTGGTGGGTGGCATTATGGGATGGGTGTCCTGTGGGGCCGTCTCCTTGACCACCTGAGCGGGTGCCCCAGGAGTGGCCCCCGTGGGGGGCAGATGGCGCTGCTGCCGCGGTTGAGCCTGGACTGCCGTCGGCCGCCCACCCGCCCCGGGTGCAGGCTGGGCAGGTGCTGCCCCCACGGAGCAGGACTCGCCCCCGCAGGGCTGCTGCCGCCCAGATCGCCCCATGTGCCCCGCGGAGCGAGCGGGCTGCTCTGATGCTCTGAGGCTGGCCCCTGAGGGGGTGGCTCCGGGGCCTCTGGGGAGGGACCTCGGGCAGGCGATGTCCGTCGCTGCCTGGGCCTGGCCCTGGGCTGCCTGTCTGTAGCTGCAAAGTGACCAGTGTGTGGCCGCTCTGCGGGCCCAGCTGTGCTGGAGGCAGGTCCCACCCGAACCCCACGCCGCCCAGATCGGTGGCTGGTCTCGCCCTGGGACTAAGATGGACCCAGGAGACAGGACACAGGGTGACACACAGCTCGGAGGGGACTGTGGGGGGAAGTGCCCCACAGCCTCAGGGGCCAGGGGCTCAGTGTGGCGACAGGGAAGATAGTCCATGGGGCCCTCACAGCGTGCCCCACTCCCTCCCCCCTCCTCCTGCCCTCCCCATGAGCCTCCTGGTGGAAAACAATAGGAGAAGCCTTGCTTGGGCCACAGGAGCTGGGAACAAACTGCCGACAGCCAGCTTCGCTGCTGGCTCACCGACGCCCGGGCCTCCTGAGTCAGATGAAGCAGCTTCTCCATTTTGGCTTGAAGCCCGCAAAGGGCAGGGCATCTAACTGCGTTTGGGAAGAAAACAGGCGAGTCTTCCCAGGTCAGTGCGGCTTCTCCAGCACCAGGCGGGGCTTTCCCGCGTCG